AAAGCTAGATTTGCGAGTTTGGGGAGTAAGTAACAATAATTCCCCTGACATCTTTACACAAATCATCTCTACTTGGCGGACCTCAAAGGACGCCCTCTCTCTTCTGCCCTAAACCATCACAGCTTCTGGATCAGCCAAGTCAGAGTGGGAACAGCCCTCGGGGTAGCTGTGGCCCGAAGCCCAGAGACACTAGCACCTGGAAGGCTTTCTTTTCTGAAGAAGGACTGCAGGAGCTTCTCAGCTCTGTGAGTAAGTCTCACAGACTTGGGGTTCTAAATGGCTGCCCCACAGATGAGAAAATGTTCTCAGTATCTCTTAGCTCTAATTGCACGCTCATCGGTTCCTGTTTCTCTGACCCTGATGGTGACGATGTTGATGGTGATGTTAGCCACAATTGCATAGTAAATGCCAGGTGCTGGGTAAATAGAATTTAAATAGAATTCGGTCATGTCCTCTAAGTGGCAAAGCAGTGTGTGATAGAGACCATCTTCCCAGAAAGGGGAAGTGAGGGTCAAAGAGGGTCGGGCTTGTCACCCAGCTGGAAGGTGGCTGAGCTGGGCCTTGAACTCAAATCCGTTGATTCCAGAGGTCATCCGCTTAACCCCTCTGCTTCCCTGCCTTCCTGTTCCAGCCCTTTGTGTCTCGTTTGGTAAAGTATCTTCTTCACATGTCCAGCCCTGGGAAATGATGACCTGTACCTGTGTTCTTCCCAAAACCATGTTTGGGATATCGTTATTGCCAGGGCTTCTGGTAGCATCCATCCCAGCCCTGTGTCTCCACATCTGCCCCCCTGCCAACAGTGTGGCGAGGTGGATGGTGGTCGGGGAATGACGGGCCAGAGCAGGTGGTGGGTCCAAGGAGGAGGTGTAAAAGTATAAAAAGAGACGAGAGACGGACAAGAGGCTGTGTGTGACCACCCATGATGGCAGTGACTGGTTTTTACTGGGAGCCATCCTTGTCTAAGAGGAAGATCTTCGGCATCAGAGCTAGACAGAGCCTGGAAAGAACCAGACTGGCTACTTAAAAAGACTCACTGAGCCTCAATTTTCTAATTAGTAAAATAGGGATGATGACACCAACCTGACATCGTTGCTAAGGATTAGAGATAGGAGAAGCCAGACCCTCTCGTGTAACACATGCTCAATAAAAGGAGGCCGTTACTACATTAATATCATTAAATCAAAGGGAAACTCCTGGTGAACACTTCAGACCCCTTCCTCTGATCCACACGGGGAGCATTTATTGTTCTGCTCATGTCCTCAGCTGCGGCTATGTGCCTGGAAAAGGGGCTATAGAATTCAGAGAATGTGAAAGTAAGTCCTGATTCCCTGCGTCCGTGATTTCCTGCCCCTCTGGCCGTGTGTCCTTCTAGGAAGCGTCATCGGGTCGATAAGTGTATTCTTCTCATGGCTTTCTCTCCCACCTCATCCCTGCAAAGAAAAGGGGATCCTATCAGAATTTCTTTGCCTTCAGGAATCTCGAGAATTCAGAAAGCAGGGTGCCATTTCTAGAATGGAAACTTGATGAGGACAGGGCTTTGTCTAGAGTGATCACAGCTGTATCCCCATCAACTAAAAGAGATGTGCAGTGATTCCTTGTTGATTAAATCCTAACTCCTCTGAGGCTGTTTGTTTCGTGTCTCTGATGGGAGGTTCTCAGCACGGACTTGTTGACATTTGGGACTAGATAATGCCTTGTTGCGGGGAGTGGGGAGGGGGGGCCTGTCCCGTGCCCTCTGGGAGGCTCCACAACTGCCCTGGCTCCTACCTACTAGATGCCAGCAGCATCCCCCCAGCTGTGACAGCTGGAAATGTCTCCACATAGTGCCATGTGTCCCGGGGTGGGGGAAGCAACATCATGCCCAGCTGAGTACCTGCGGTCTGCAGAGTAGGGACTTGGTGAGAGGGTTCTGTTGAGAGCTTTGGGTTTGTCACATGAGTGAACTAAAAAGGTTTTTTAAAGATAGGAGAATATACTGTATATGTGAGATAAGTAAAAGTGTTTCTTTCATTGAAATCCATGGCAGACATTGATTTTCCAGGCAGCACAAGGCTCTTTCAGAGTAACCAGGAGGAGGGGGTGAGGGGCGGTCCTTTGCCAGGCCCCAGCTCTGCCCCAGCAGCCCACATTTCTACTTTAGGAAACAGTAACAGTAGACGGTACAGCTTCTGGTTCACCTTTGAACCAGCAGTCCAGTACAGTCTGACCTGTTTACAGGACAGATTATTTTAAAATCTCGCCTTGCTTACCCTTTTAAAATGGATTCTATGGATGTGGTGCAGTTTTGCTTGTTAGAGATGTCCCCGATCAGGCAGGAGGGTTAGGCATAGTGGTGTTTTCCAGTCACCGTCGCCATCAGATTTGGCTCACAGAAGAACCTGGATATTCGTAAAACTGTCCTGGATACTCGTACAACTGTCCCGCAGCTGGAAGAATCCTTGAAGATCGCGGAATCCACCCCTCTCCATTGAGAAATTAGGAAACCAAGCTTCCATAGAAGCTGACATTTTGCCTCGGAATGCCACTACATCAGTCGGCATCACGAAATGTTGATCAGAATAGACCTGCCATTGAAGGCGGTCCTGTTGGCTCGAGGGAGAACCTTCTCTACTCTGCTCTACCGAAAGGGCTGTTGTCACAAAGCTGGGTGGCAGGGAGTCGGCGCTGTGAGGGAGAGAGAAGGGGCAGCGCGCTGGCTCGGAATGCACCCCTCGCACACCCGCTCCTGATACTGTAGTCTGACACCGACGGCGCTGCCCTTTCTGGGACCCTGGACACCAGATTTTTTATGAGATGCGGACAGTGAAACTGAGGGGCCCTAAGTGATTGTGTATGGTTGTCTCCTCCTCTGGAATACAATAAAAAGCCCACAGTGTGAACACAGAGGCGTTTAAAAAGAGACATATAAAGGAAATATTCCTCAGTGACTTTTCCCAGGTTAAATGGTATTATCCTCACCTTGTATGCAGTTGACGTAATGCTGTGTGAGGTGAACATACGAGTTATACTCATTCTGCACAGTTGGAAAATTGAAGTGTGACTTTAAGAAATAGTAAAAATTTGAAATATATAGTTTTTAAAATGAAGGAAAGACAAAGTACATTTCCTTCCTTTGGATCCTAACATGCCTCCCACTGGGTTAGAGAAGGAACCCTGTGTATATGCACCTGTGTGCTTTGGGTGACCCAGGGATATATCGTGCGGGGCATATTGGGTGGAGAGGTCAGCTAAACTTTTCAAGTTTAGCCAGTAGAATTTCATGTAAAAGTAATGGATTTTTCATGTGAAAATGTATCCAGAAAAGGTTCAAGGTCTCTCTTAGGTTTTTTTTTTGTGTGTGATCTTTTTATAATTTAAGCCAAAAGCAGCATAAAAAGCTGCATTAAATAGTAAATTAGTATTTATCCAAGTCCAGGCAGTCTCTGCGGGCTGATGAGTGATTGATCTGGGGCCCGGGCACTGTCAAGAGCTGGGTGCTGATTGAATACCTCACTGTTCACCACACTCTTCAACACAGTTATTTTAGGCTTCAAGTCTGGCAAGAAAATGCAGTCATGCTGGTTATTGCTTTAAAAAAAAAAAGTCCAGCGTATTTATAAACAATTAGAAAAGAGTTGTAAACCCTTGGAGGAGATTTATTTATCAGATTTCACCTACTTAACACGGTCCTTTGTTTGCGCTCAAACTAGTCCATAATTATTCTTCCTTAGTGACCTTCAAGCAAGGGAATTGTATTCAGAAATAATTTTTTTTTCTATTCCAGTTAAATAGCAGGGAGCATTTACTGGCCCACAGTTCCAGAGTTACAGTGTGTAGGGCCCTGTCACTCCTCTGTCATGCCCACCCTGCGCCTGGCCATGACCTGCTCTTTGCTGGCCTCTCTGCCCCTGTGCTCTGTGAGTTTTGTGCGTATCTCTGGTGTGCACTGGTTTAACAACTCGCCAGAAAGTGCAGTGCCTTGAGGTTGCGTGGGAGCTGAGTCTCTGTAAGTCAGTGGCCAGTAAAGATCGTTTCTTAGAGATGCCAGAGCCTAGTGGGTCAGCCGTGAGCTCGCACATTCTCCTCTCAGCAAACCTAGCGCTCGCCTCCCTACCAGACCTGGGGCTTTCAAGCGTGATTCAAGGGGTGAATTTCCACCTTTGGACTGACTACCTGGATCCCAACAGTCTGGAGCAAGAACTGGTAATTCAGCGTAGGGAGAAAGAAAAGGTGGCAGGAACTGAGAGTCCGAACTTCTAAGGACTGAGGAGACGGAGTCAAGGAGTCACGGAGTCACGGAGTCACGTTGCCCCCAATCCCAGGAAATGGTGCCGGATTTTTCTGGTGAATAAACCTGTAGTATGTTGCCATCTAGTGGAACATACGGCAAACTAAAGATTAATGTATTCTGACCACAGACTTCCCCAAAGCTAATTAAGTCAGCCTGAGAAAGTAACCGAAAGAATTTTTCTAGAAGCAAGTGTTTTGGAAATGTATGCAAATTTCGAGTGAAACTACAGTTGACTTTTAGTAATCGTCTTTTCTTAAAGTTGCCAAGAGGTTACTTGGTTTCTTAAGAGTCGTGAATATTTACCACCAGGGAACTAACGCGTTTTTCAAACCTGTGTCCCAGCCAGGATCCTGCAATATACCTGTCACCTACCTGCACAATAGGCGTAGTTTCTTATCCTCAGTCCTAGCAAAAGGCTTGGTTATGACAAGGCTATTTTAGTGTCTTTTAAAACGTGTTGTTTTTAAGTTTCTGATATCTTTCTTAAATACATTCCCTTTTTAAAAAAAATTTTTTTTATTAAATTTCCTCAGAATCAACATGCTTACTCTTAGGAGAAGCAGACACATGATGTCACAAAGTAGCAATTTGGGAATTCTAAAGAACATCCCAGACAATGCCCGATTCTGTGGTTTCGGACCTAATTTGTGTGAAGACCCACAGACTTCCTTCAGGAACATTGACTCCTTGTTTCTCTTGTTTCTCTGCTCTTTGGCTTCTGTTTGCTCAGATCCCTGCCTGGTGCCACAGCAGCTGAGTGTGCCTCAAACCTGAAGAAAATCTACACGGTGCAGACAGTACAGGTAAGATCGGGAAGTGGACCGATGAACGCAGAGTGTGCTGGACCTCTAATCCCCCAGCCTGAAACGGCCTCCATGCTGGCTGTCCCCACCCAGGGTTCTGAGCTCTGTTGTCGGCCCTCAGGGCCATTGTGGTAGAGCTGCGCTCAGCGCCATGTAGCCCAGAGGCTGACCGAGCACGCGTCCAGGTGACCTGCTCTTCTCTTGGTGACCTGCCGAAACTTGCTGACTACCTAAGTCTCTCAGAGACCCTCCGTAGCAGGGAGGAAGTGTGGTGCGTCGCCACGTGGACGTGTGTCCCCATTCAAATACCGGCCTGGCCACTCCCTCTCTGAGCTCTGTTACCCTTCTCCCAGGGGCCAAATCATCTCCCTGCAGGGTCATCTAAGATTATAGGTCACCTAGGAAGAGCAGGCAGGTGTTGAGCATGGAAGTGGATAGTCTCAAGCCAGTTTCCTGCTTCCTTTGTCCTAAATTGGGCAAGTATCAACCCTTTTGACTTCTGCACAGATTGGTATAATGAGAGCACCTATCTCTGGGTTGGATAAGGTTTATACCGTGCTTAGCAGAATACCTGATACGTGGTAGGTTGTCAACACATCCAAGCTCTTATATCTTGTTAGTTCTTTCTCTAGCCAACTCCTACGAAGAGAATTTCTGAAAAACCTGATTTATTTAGTTGATCATATTTCCATTTTCTTCAAAAGCAAGGTCTATCAAGTTTATACCCCTTTTCGAGGTTAATACACTGTTTTAGACAGAATAAGGATTTTAAGCCTGCTTTATTCTTGCAATGACCAGATGTTTTGAATTTTCTAGAAGGGCCAGCTTTAAAGTTTTCCTGTGAGCCTTTAAAAATGTATCAGCATTTCCATTAGACAGGCATCAAGATTGTGTGCCTTAGGTAGTTTCTGACACTTTGTTTTTCAGACACTTTTCCCAATATCTGGTTCAGAAAATTTGATGTTCTAGTTATGTGGTCCCAGGAATCTGATTGTAAGGTGTCATGCCTGGTCACTGAGCCGGGTAATAAAAACACAGCCCAGACCATAGGCCATTTATGGCCGACTTGGGAAAATGACGTTAAGCACATGGAAAGCAAAAGAACAGAGCTGCTGTCAAGTAATCAGGCAGTGCCAAGTACAGGCAGTGTCACAAGGCAGCACGTGGGCCCCTGTCCAGAGGGATAAATGCTCTCAGATTCCGGGAAAGGCTTCCCCTCGCTTCTTCCCTGTGGTGACATTGTGGACTTCTGTTACCTCCTCCCCAGTCACTGTATGAACCTTAGAGCACTCGATTTTGAAGCCTGTCTCCACAGTGAAGTTCGTAGATCGCTCTGACCTTTCCCACCCCATGATGACATTGGGTCATCAGAGCTCCGCCTGGGATTCCAGGACAGATGTTGATAAAGTCAGATCATGGGGTCCTTCTCTTTCCCTGACCCTGCATGGCCAGAGAGTGTGGGGTTGAGCCATGGTGTCCGGCTGGGAGGTAGAGCCTTCAGGGACCAGTTTCAAGTACCTAGGCTGGTGCATGCTGGGAATTACTTTCTTGAACACTCTATTAGGAGATAATTTATATTCAGCAAATGTAGATTTCACAAGTGTGCAGTTTGATAGGTTTTGACAAAGGTATGCAGACACGTAACCATAACCCAGATCAAGATGAAAAGATGTGCATCGTTAGAAAGTTCCTCTGTGCCCTTCCATTCAGTCTTTCTCTTCTAGAGGCAACCACTGTTCACATTTCTGTCACCCTGTGTTTGTTTTGTCTTTTATTGAATGTCATGGAAATGCAATAACACGGTACCATATTCCATTGTGTCTGGTTCCTTTCCCTCAGTAAATACGGAAGGACTGACTGAATGAATGAATGAGAATTTAATAAATGAACCACTCTCCTGAATCACAACTGACTGCTTGAATAAGGATCCTTTAAGCCATAGATCATGTTCTCACTGGGGGCAAAAATTGATCCTTGGTGGGGTAAAAAAATCCCATTCTTTTTATAAATAAAGCACAGATACACATACAGTACATAAACCAACATACAGCTATGCTGTGGTATTAGCATTTCACAAGGGAGTACTTAGCAAAAAGCACAATTTTGGGGTGGGCCGGAGGGGTGTGCTAGTGAAACATGGCTCTAAGTGGTCAGGAACTTCTTTCCTATCTCTGTTGCCCTGTCACCCTGTTTCCTCATCTGTAAGACTGAGATCATTGCAGGGCCTACCTCCCTAAGGTGGAGTGAGGGTTTAATGAGATTGTGTACGGTTCTTAGTAGTGCTTGGCACTAGTAAGCCCTCAGATGTTGGCAGCTTTTACTAAAGTGGTGTTGGATGCTACCCCTTGGCCTCATCCATTGCCTGACAAGGATGTGGGTGAGGGTATAGAGCAGTCAAACTGCTTGGGTTTGTATCCCATATCTGTCACTTACGAAGTTGGGCAGGTTGCCTAACTTCTCCTCTGCACCTGCTTACTCATCTTGAAAATGGGGATAATCTTGATACTGATGGTATCACGAGGCCCTGATAATAAAATGGCATAAAGAGGCAAAAAACACATAGTAAATATCCAATAATGATAATAATATATTAGTATTATTTATTATTATTATTATTTATTATTATCATAAGCCCACCTGCCATTATTCACCTACTTCTGTTGAAACATCTCTTTGTATTTTTGTCGGTCATGTTTTTTGTCAGAAAACCACATACCACTACTTGTAAATTATTTATTTCAAGCAGTTATTCCCCAGATTAGGCCCTTGCTGACACTTCTACTCATAAAAGATATTTAGCCTATCAGTAACTTTGAGGACCCCAGTCTGTGAGTGTCCTGAACATGTGACTAGTCCTTAGTATTTAACAACTAGCTTTGGTGCCAATTTTAATTCATTTGAGGAGGTGTGTTGGGTCCCCTGTACTTTTGTTCCGGGATTATACATTGATTCTTGGACCTTCCCTTTCTCAGCACTACAAAACTGCGTTCCTAATTGTGTCCTTGACTTTTCTCCATCCTTCTTTGGATAAAACGTGAGAATCGTGTGTTATTAATGACTGTTTCATATATAAGGACATACATATATATGTCTTTTTGTACTTCGAGGCCCTTTAGCAAATCGGAGCCATTGATGGGGGTGGGGGAGGAATGGTTATTCCCATTTATTAGCTGGAGACTGATGCTGAGAGGTAAGTGCTCTGAAACATCCAGTGGAAACAGCCCATCGTGCCACGTCTCAGGACTAGAACTCCCGCCCCTTCGAGTTGAGTTCTTTGTCTTTCCCTCTGCCCTGACTGAGGAGGTTGGGGAGGCGTGCGCCTCCAGACGGCCCCCTGACCTTGGCTCAGGACACTCTCACTGGAGCCAACAATAATTCCCTTTGCTTGGAGTTAAATTTATTTCATACTTTCCTGCCTTTCTTGGAAAATTCCATTTATCGTCTAGCTGTGTTTTCCAGATGCTTATTGATTCCTTTTACTCTTTTGTAAACATATCCAAATGTTCCACATTTCTCTTGTGTTTTTATGTCCTCAATGGATGTGGTGCAGAACAGGACACAGCTTCTGAACAAGCCTGTGAGAGAACGAATATGATTTGCAAAGGAGGGCCCTTGTCCCCTCCTCTCTTTCAGCCTTGCTGCCACAAAGCCAGCACTTCTACCCCTGAAAACCCTTTGCTCTACAACACTGTGTCCCGTGTTGGTCATTTGCGTTATCCCCTTCGTCATCTGGCCACGCTGCATCCCACCCGTGCCATGTTCTACCTAGGATTTCCCATAGATTGGCTGTAACTTAAATTTATGGAAGGCAAAAACTTCATGTTTCTTTTGTGGATGGATATCCAGCATTGTTGATCATAAACACAAAGTCTTCATCTGAAATACATGCAGTCTGTTGAAATCAAGAGTGTCCCTTCTGTACTCCAGTGGTAATCAGAGCACCACCCCTCCCCAGAAGGTGTGGGTGGCTGTGCTCTCACACCTCATTAGGTTAGGACGACAGATTGCTTCCACATCACTGGCAAGTGAGGGCTGTCGCTTCCAGAAAGAGAGGTTTGGGGCACCTCTGTGGCTCAGTTGGTTAAGTGTCTAACTCTTGATTTCGACTCAGGTCAGGTGAGCACCCCCCGACACACACACACTGCGTCCGCCTCTATGCTGACATTGTGGGCCCTGCTTGCCATTCTCTCTCTCCCTCTCTCTGCTCCTCCCCTACTTGTGCTCTTGCTGTCTCTCTCATAAACTTAAAATAAAAAAAAAAAGGAGAGGTTTATAGGTCAGTACTGATAATGAAGAATGATGTGAAGATTGAGTAAAATTTTGGACACAGAAGGGCAGCCTGCAGTGGGTGGCATCCCACAGTGGAATGACCTGGAACGAACCATTTGGCTGAAGGGAAGGGACCGAGGTGAGAGAGAGAGAGACACTAGGTATCTCCGTATTGATGAGACAGACCAAACGTCCTACAGCCAGGACTGCTTCGTGGGTCTGAGGAGCACAGATGTAATTTTGAGTTAAGGCAGGATTCTGCATCATCTAATTTACTCATTATGCGTATAATGAGATCAACATTTATAGTAACTGTCCGTTTGTGCGGAAATAGAACCGCAGTCAGGTTACCCATGATCCTCTCTCTCTGCTGGGGGCCCTCGTATGGGTGGGGCTGAAGGGGCAAATTCAGTCTTGCAAAGTAAAATTAATTCAGTCACTTCAGATGTAAAGCCTGGTCTCTCAAGGGGGTCAGAATATGCCACCCCAAAAAATGCCACTTTAGCATAAGGATTATTTTGAGCTGAAGGCAGTTGAGTAACAGCTGAAACAAGAGGGGCCCTCTACCCTCCTGTCTGCCTCACGTCGGGGCATAACTTTCCCTTCTAAGGTGGCATAAACTTCCACGTGTAAAGCCATCCCCCTTTCTTGTCGCTTGAGTCTGCACAGCGAACCTTCCTCAACACCCATCTCTATCTCTATCCTGTATGTCCTTGTCAGCTCCCCACCAT